TGGCCCTACTGCCAAAAAACCCGGCCTGCCCTAATATAGTCCCAACGCAAGCCCCAAACCGTAGAAAATGGACATCAACAGATGCGGGACTCTAGATCGAGTCTCTACGCACACAAAACATCAGAATTATTTGAATTAATGGCCCTGATCTCATTAACTGGGCTATCGCTAGACCCAAGTCAGACTCGCCCTTTGTGCACAGTGGATTGATTGTAAATAATTCAAGATACTACATGAAACATAAGATGGAATTTACCTCCTACCTTTGAATCTCAATTATTCAAGCCTAAGATGACCAACCATTCTCAGCAAAAATGCTCAATGTACCATTAACTGCTTGCACTTCAATTAAGTAACTAGGTGAAACATGAAATGAAACTAACCCTTTATTTCTGAATTTTAACTATCAACTAATCATTATGAGTTGGCAAACAACAAATTTTTAACTCAAACTTATTCATAATTAACACCAAAATAGACTAATGCTTCTGAGTTTTAGCCCATTAACTGAACATTCTGAATTGAAACAACTAATCTAAACTAAGCAGGCTCATAACCAGCAGCAAAATGAACTGACACCTGCTTCTATTATTAGAATACTCTGGACCAATTCTTCCCCTTTAAACACAATTCCAACACCCACGAAATCCAATGAATACATTCTGCCAAACTAATATATAAGTACATGATCAAACTAATACAATTAACATGTTACCAGAACTTATGTGAGCTATTCAGTAAACAAATCTAAATACCATTTATATCACAAGATTCCCCAATAATGCATTTGTCCTGAATTTAACTCGGTTAACAGGTTATTTCCAAGTCTTATAACAGTCCCAAATCTAATACAACTCAACAAATTCGAATATTCAGAATAAAAACTACCTAGCATACACCAAGAATCAAGTAATGAAAATAGACATTATATAGAACTACTGCAGATAGAACTATTGTCATTTCTCAACTTCATTTTCATTTCCCTCTTCAAATTGAATTTCACATTGGGCAAAGTTAAAAAATGTACCTGTAAATGGACAAAGAAAAATAGGTGAGGAGTAGTAAGCTGCAGCAGAGATATCAAAAAGGAAGCAGCACCACAGAATTAGCTAAACCCAGATTTGAACAGTCAAAATAGTGAAATCAACTTCAGGCATTCAATAGAACAGTAAACCCAACCACAAGCTTAAACCAGAATTTTCCAAAACCCCAATTCTAATCCATTTCCAACCTCAAATGAATCAAAGTTGTTTGGAAATTGAAAGATTCAAAAATCACTGGAAAAAAAGTTCAATGAAACAGTAAAAAAAAATCAGCCATTTGTATTTTCTGGATTTTTTATTTTTGAATCTCTGCCTTGAATGCCAAGTTAGAGAGTCTTTATAGGCAAGTCATTTAGGGCAGCTAGATGAGAATCAGATTTGCACCTAGACCCTCTTTAAATTTTTATTATAGCTTAGGAGTCCTTAAGTTAAAATTCAGAAATTCTCTTAGGTCCTTTCCTCAGCTTCCTAGAAGCTTCCATTTCAGTTATACAAAGATTTCCTAAACTAGACTACCCAAATTACCCCTTAATGACCCAATTATTACCCCTGAAACTAAACGGGTATGAGGTCAAATTGACTCAATGTTTCAATCCAGCCTGGGCTTGCAAGACTCAATATGAATCTTTTATTTTTTTTGGCTTTTGATTTCAATCAAACCAACAATCTATAATCGAACCCATAATTTAAACAGACTGACCCGAAATTTCCATAAAAGAAAAACCCAGAAACCTCTTTAAAAAATGAAACTAAAAACAAAAAAAGAAAGGGAAATGAACCAATAAAATAAGCTAGACCTGGTTGTTAAACTAGTTATGTAAAACAGAACAAACGGGCAAACGAACACATGATGAAGAAAAGGAAGAAAGGGTGCAGAAAAAGATAAAAATGAAATTAGACGCAAAAGAAGAAAACATGCAAGAAAAGGAAGTGAAAAATACCTAAAATCTAGATGGCTTAATCTTGGATCTTCAGAGGAAGCTTCAATTTCTTGAACGAAATGGGCCTTAATCATATGTTTTCAAACGAGAACGCACGAATAAAGCTAATTTCAGCCTTAAAACTTCGTTAAACTTCGTTGATTTGGGTTTTGGGATTTTAGGATTCATGTCTTCCAATTAATATTTGAGGAGTTCAGGGAAGATTCGAAGGAAATCAGTTGTGGATTAGGTACGAGGGGGTCAAGGGGAGTTTGGGGTGTTGATTTGGGGTGATTTGGGACCAACGCCGCCGGCGACTAGCGGTGGAAAAGAGGGCGGCTTCTAGGGTTTGTTTCAGTCGTCTATGAAGGAGACGAAGAGTGAGGGGGCGAGAGTAGGAGGGGGTAAGGTCTTCAGACAGATTTATATGGGGGAAGGGATCAGTTTTGAGCCGTTGGATTTACAGGGATCAACGGCTCAGATCAAGGGCCAAGGAAACGGAGTTGTTTGGTTTTAAGTAAGATGGACCGGGTTGGGGACACGGGTTTTGGACCGGATTTAAGGAAAAATTGGTTTGGGCTTTGGGCAAATTTTGAATTTTGGCTCAAACTAACTCTCTTCTTCTTTTATTTCCTATTTCAAATCAATTTTTCCAAAAACTCTTTTTCTTCCTCTTTTTTTTTCAAAGTTAAATTTAAATCTAAATTAAATCCTAAAACCTAATTAACTTATCAAAAACACTAATTAAACCTAAATAATAATTACCACAATTAATAAAGAAAACAAATAAAAAGAAAACTACTCAAAATTCAAAATTAAAATCAAAAGTGCAAATTAAACTATTTTTTTGTAATTTTTCCATTTTTATAAACAACTAATTTGCTAATTAATCTTAAAATGTAGAATTAAATCCTAAATGCATACGCCACGTATTTTTGTATTTTTCATTAATTAAACAAAATTAACATGCACAGACAATATGCAAATAATAACAGAAAATACCACAAAATTGCAAACAATGAAAAAATTATTTTATTTTGAATTTATGGGAGTAATTCATATAGGGCAAAAATCACGTGCTCACACCTGGTGTGAAAGCGATTATTCTTGTCGAGATGTTCCTTGCCCTTCGTTCTTTAGATTTCATCAGATTTAGACCGTGTTTAGCTTACTATATTGTGCTATTATTTGTTTTGTTCCGCTGCTAATGGTTGCATTTATTTCTTATTGCAAGCACTGTATTAATATTGCCATTATGCGTAGTTTCGTAGAGATATCGTACCTTCTTAGTTCTACACTTAAATTTGTCCAGGTTATCTAGTCCAGTAGGTGTCTTGATTGTCCCTCGTCACTACTCCACTGAGCTTAGTCTTGATACTTACTGGGTACTGTTGTGGTGTACTTATACTATGCTTCTGCACTCTTTTGTGCAAATCTAGATATTTTGGAGTCAATCGATTGCTAGCTAGTTGTACGGATCTTGCTGTGGAGACTCCAGGTAAATCTATTGTTGCGTTCGCAAGCTTCGGAGTCACATTCTGATGTTGTATTTACACTATTTATCCTTATTTCGAAACAGTTGTATTTAGTGGTTTTCTAGCAAACTCAGTAGATCTTATGACTTGTACTACCGGTTTTGGAATTGTAAATTTGTATGGAGAATTCTATTTCAAATTTGTCAGATGTTAGTGAAATATTGTTATTAATTCAGTTAATAGGCTTACCTAGTCCCTAAGACTAGATTTCATCACGATATCATATGGAGGAAAATTTAGGTCGTGACAACATATTTTTCTTAGATATTTTATAAGTATTTTGAATTATAAATTATTATAACTTATAATATTTTTTATGTAGTTTCTAAATATGTGAATTTTATTTTCAGAACTTGAAGAATTTGTGTCTAATTTCACGATCAATACTAAAAAAATTTGGTTAAGTAATAGTAGGAAAGAGGAGGGAAATAGAGTTTAGAGGAGAAAAATAACATAGGAATTAACCGTAAAAAAAAAGGGGAGAAAAACGAAAAACAGAAAACATAATAAAGGATAGAGGAGTAATGTCCATTACTTTTATGGAATATGAGATTATTTATTATTATTTTGTTTTTTTAGCTTCTTTACATTTTTTCAGTGTTTCTTTTAATTTGAAAAGAGAATTTTAGGGAAACTGAAGTTTCACTATCTAATGAAATTAATAGAAATCAAATACTCCTACATTTGTGTATCTAGAATATAATTAAAATTAAAATATAGTGTATTAAAACCAAGAAAACACCCATTAGATATTTTTCTCTTCGAAAAATACAATAATAAAAAATGCAATCATGTATGCTCTAATTCTAACAGAAATAATTATATTTATGATCTCATAAAATAACTAAATTTTATATTTGTATACATGAAAAAACTAACATATTCTATCTCGATTAAAGTCATTTAAAAAAAACTAAGTGATCCTTTTTATAATCGCGAAGCGCGACCAATATAATTTCACTAATTTATTCTTTAAATTTTTGTTGAGAGATATAGGTTGCAATATCAAACATAAATCAAAACTAGAGCCATTTGTGAATGATACGAATAGCTCATTAATCACAATTAATAAAAGGACGTGTTACATTTAACAAAGGGAGTGTTTGAGAAGCCTAGTATACTAGTTAGGCGAGGTAAATAATTACAATTATCTTATATTAATTGTTATAATATTTGGATTTTAGCTTATAATGAATTTTACATTCAGATATAGATATGTCCATTTAATATTTTTATAAACCAGTGATAAACTTATCTGTTGGCATTCAAATTGATTATGACATGGAGACGCGAAGGAAGATGCTATGCACTGCTTGAGTTGGGATAAGGGATAACAATTTCAGAATAAAATATGTGATTATTTTATTTCGCATTTGGTTGTATTTTGAATTCGATATTAGCAATTTCGAGATTAGTTACACAATATTTGTGATATTATTTTATTCACATTGAGAGAGGAATAATAATCTAGGAATTACTGGAAAAAATACTAAAATGATAAAATGCTATTTTTCAAGGGTCTTCTTCCAAAGTCCTTTAAAAACTTCAAGATTAAAATTAAAACTAAAATTGTTACTACTCCTCCTCAACCATATTACTATTCCTCACCACCACCACCCAAGAAATCACCTCCTCCACCATATTACTACTCTTCTCCGCCACCACCAGTAAAGTCACCTCCAACTCCATATTACTACACCTCCCCACCACCACCAAAGAAGTCGCCTCTCCCACCATACTACTACACTTCACCACCACCACCTACTCATTACTATCCTCCACATCATTATATGGTGGTCGAGGTTGTCGGAAAGGTATACTGTTTTAGATGCTATGATTCAAAATATCCAGAAAAGTCTCATGGCAAGAAACACCTGAAAGGTACAATAATCTTTATGCCACACCCACTTTCTTTAATTTCTTTTAATTTATCATCAACATTTTTATTTAACACTATATTTTTTTTTTGTTGCTTTATTTGTTAAGCTCTTATAGGAATTCATAAATGTTTCGTTTTAATTTGGATATAAGATTCATCATATTTTACTGATGTCGAAATGTGCAATTAAAGTTTTGTGTACGCCACCTTCACTAAATTTCCGTTGAAAATTAAGATTTAAAATGTAAAAAAAATTTACAAGTTAGTGATTCGTAAAATATTGAAAATGAAGGTAGTTCTTGTTTGGTATTGAAGTATTTATTCTGAGGGTGTGATTATCTCACGTGAAGCCGACGAAAGTTTGTGTTGGCAGACAAATCGCGCATATTATCTGGCAATGTGTTTCCTTAATTATTAGTATAAGAATAATAAAATTAGAAAAATATAAGTTTTTGTCATGTGATCGAAAAGTTAGCTTTATATTATGAATAAGACAAATTTGGTTCTTGCATGAAGTGGGAAAAGTAAGATTGGGACATATGTTAGCAGCTCAATTATTTTAGTGTTACTTAATATATTATTTCTTTTTTTAAATATTTAGGTGCTGTTGTTGAAATAACTTGCAAGGCTGGTGACAAGAAAATTGTGAGTTATGGTACCACAAAGATCAACGGCAAATTCAGCATTACTGTTAAAGGATTTGAATATGGCAAATATGGAGCAAAGGCTTGCAAGGCTAAACTCCACAGTGCTCCAAAAAATTCAAATTGTGACATTCCTACAAACCTCCATTGGGGAGTAAATGGTGCTAACCTAAAAGTGAAGTCAAAGAACTATTATGAAGTTGTACTTTATGCAAAACCATTCGCTTATGGCTCTAAGACACCTTATGCGAAATGCATAAAACCTAAGCCTACACCTGCTCCATACTACTACAAATCTCCTCCACCTTCATCACCAACTTATATTTATAAGTCACCACCTCCTCCATCACCAGCATATGTTTATAAGTCACCACCTCCCCCAACCCGAACATACATTTACAAATCTCCGCCACCACCAACTAAGTCTCCATCATCTCATTATTATAAGTCTCCACCTCCACCATCACCTAAATCTGCACCTGTCACACCTCCTTTTTGCGCGCCCCGCCCCGAAGGGTAGAATGCGCGTGGGGAGTTTTTTCAATTTAAATGACAATATTCGAAATGGGATTATTTATTTAATTCAGAGTCGCCACTTGGGAAA